TGGCATGAAACATGACTCTGCAACATGCTTTTCGTGCATTTTTTATACACTTGTACGGAACTTGGTAACTTAATTACTATCTTTCATAAATAAAGCTTCAAAGACAGGTGCACGGCCCCTGCCTTGGTGGTACGTTAGTCAGACATACTGGGTTTATTGAACTGATGAAAGAAGCCCGCATTCTCTGTGTCAAGTTAGTTAGATGTACGGCACGATATATCTCCGAGGGTTGTCATTAACACCACTCTTTAAGTGCGGCCCTATTGTCAAAGGTCCAATCAGGATGCTTTTTATTATGATACCTGAGTGGTCTAAAATGTTTAATCCTTTAGAACGGGAAAAAAATGTACAAAAAAAAACTAGTATATGAAAATTCTTCTTTTACCCTCTCAACTTAGACGCTTAAATTATTGTTCCTTATTATTTAGCAGGTTTGTTTTGACGCCCGCATTGTTGATTTATTTAGCTTGTTTGTTCACTTTTCAATAGAAATTCTCAACTGTTATTTTGTGCAGTAATGCATTATAATCTAACATTTAAGATTTTTTATAAACATTTAGTCATTCAATGAGTCTAAGACTTCTAATCTGTCATTGGTCAATTCTAAATTTAACAACCAATGAAAAGTATAGACTAAAGAGTACTTCTTATATTCATTTAAGATTTAGATGTTAATTTTGTAATTTGTTAATTTAAGAAATGGCTAAATCTCAAAGAAAGAATTTATCAAAAATGTTGCTAGATATTTTATTTAAAGGAAAAATAAACTATTTTTCTATCAGTTTAAAAGATAAACGCTATTACACAGATTCACTGATAGATCTAAAAACACCATATTTCTTTTATCTATAATTTAAATAACAACGAAAGTACTAACTGTAAAATTTGACCAAAATCGGTCGATGAATAAAGCTACATTGGTGTCCTTGAGATGTCGTCAGATCTTTTACTACATCCCTGTTTGTAACATTTACAGCAAAATTGCACAAAATGTTATATAAAAATATTTTTCTTTAAGAGATAAAATGGTGTTGTTTGTAAAGGAAAGATCTTTTGTGCATACAGCCATTTTTTTTTAAAGCTAATTAACTTACTATCAATTTTGTATCATTTAATACTAGTATAGAAATTCACCTATATATACACCTTTCAGATAAGAACAGAAGTTATGGTGTAAATAGTTACCTGAAGGTATGATCTTAATCAGGAAAGATCAAGAGGGTTAATTAAGACTTAAAGCAGTATTTGTAGAATTATAATTTTGTTATTGACCGTTTGACTGACCACTGGACCATTGTGTTGACCAGCTGTTATCTTTCATCAACCTCAAAATGTGCATTTTGCCACTGGGCAGTCTAGTCTAGAAGATGTGGACAAAGTCGGCTTATCTCCAGACAAACATTGTATTAACCTTAAAACCTGTTAGGTGACTGGACATACTGTTACTGATCCAATTCATTTACAGGTAGAAAGCAACAAGCATTATGCTATATCAGACTAACGTCTATAATTATTAGATTTGAACTTTGAAATACCCACCTTTTGTACAAGTACCGATTATAAAGAAATTAATGATTGAATAGCCATTTAACCTTTGCAGTCATTATCTTGTTTTTTTCCTGTTATTTTACCAAGGTGTGTGATACAGTTAGATCTGATGATTAAGATCACCTTCCTGACTTTACTTGTGATATACATGTAACTTGAAATATGCACTTTTGTACAAATACCGATAATATGGAAATTAATGATTGAATAGCCATTTAACCGTTGCGGCCATTATCTTGTTGGTTTTTTTCCTGTTATTTTGTTTATCAAGGTGTGTGATATAGTCACACCTAATGATTAAGACCACCTTCCTGACTGTAAAACATGATCGTGATACAGAGGTGGTCTGTGTTAACATTAGAAATGTTAGGTGAAATTGTGGTATTAGAAAGGTGATCTTTTTTTCTTTAAAATACTGCAGTTTTAAAAAAGCAAAAGTGGTGTTAAATCAGTATCTAGGCTTTTAAACCCAATTTTCATTTTAATGGGTTTTTTGGAAACACCCAAATCGTATGTTTTTTAATATGAAAATGTTTCTATTTTCTAGGTAACATATTTTAATTGAGATGTACAGAAGTCATTGCAAAGCAGATGGCTGTACTGATTTTGCCAACAAAAAAGACTGTATGGTTTGAAGCTTGTTTTTTGACATTGTGTTAGTTCCTGAAGCAACACTACTGGTGTTTTCCTGATTTAACTTGAGAATGAATTAGTAAGTGGTTTCTTTATAGATTCATTGATTATTAGTGTCTTTATAACTTAACAGCTACAAATATCAAATCTTGTTCCCTTGCAACTGTCAAAAAAGATACTCAGATATGAAAAGTGAAAAAAATTGATGAATTTATATGGATTATTTTTTAACAAAAGTGTAAATGCAGATGCTTTTAGAGAATTGGAAGAAATGTTTCCTTATTTGACATTGACCTCTATTTGTTATGAAACATCCTTGATCTATATTGCTTCAGTGCAATCTATAAAATGGTATACAAACAAATGAGCCGCGTCATGACAAAACCAACATAATGGGTTTGCAACCAGCATGGATCCAGACCAGCCTGCGCATCCGCGCAGTCTGATCAGGATCCATTCTGTTCGACAAGTAGAGAAACTGAAAGCGAACAGCATGGATCCTGATCAGACTGCGCGGATGCACAGGCTGGTCTGGATCCATGCTGGTCGCAACGCCATTATGTTGGTTTTGTCATGACGCGGCTCAAATGTCATCTAGGGAAAAGCCTTTGCTGGTTCCCACTATCGTTTTTAAACATTAAATCTCAACCAATGAAATGCCAAGATTCTAATGTAATGTTCCAGAGGTGATTATTTACTGAGAAAGTGGAGTTCTATTAATTAGAATCGGAAAACAGTTGTGGTCTAGTTATACATCTATCTAGAACAATAAAAACAACAAACAATTATTAATAATGAAATTTTGCAGATGCCCTACTGATCTGTATTAGTACTTGTTTTCCCACCAATTGTCATAAATAATGACATAAAATAAAGTGTGGTAATACACAATGTATTTATATAAGTTCAGGAGAACAGGATAGTTTAATGACATGTGTATTTGAAACTGCAAGATGGGTATACTTCATATAAAAACTTGCATTTCATTTATCTGTGGAACCTTCGATGATAATGTAAATTTCCCGAAGATTTCTAATTGTTTTCTATTGTTTGATGTGGTTGCATCTTTAAATGTGTTCCATATATGTCACAAAATTACTGTTTTTCATTTCAAATTATGGAAACTATTATATAATACCTAAAAAATCAATATATTTTTTAATTTTTTAGAAATGTCAAACATGTGTTTAATAGAATTTAAAGCATATGGGGGATGTTGAACAACTGAAGAAAGTAGCTATGAACATTACAATAATGTGTCATAAAGGTAGCAAAATGTGACTTCCATACAAAATACTAATTCACTTTAATTATACTAATTTACAATAGAGCTATAGTTGCAAAAAATAGTCCATGTACATGACAAATGAGTATATTATTTTGAAAACTGTAACAAAATATCAAAACTTAAAAGTTTTTGAAAAATAAAATTGTTAGCATTTCAGAGGCATAATGGGCCTTTAAACATAACCTTGCACACACAAAATGACAGGATGGACAATAGCCCTCCCATCCAAAAGTGACAGTGAAGAACAAAACTCCCCTCTCCACCCCCCCCCCCCCCCCCCCAATTTTTTTTTATGGAATGGGGTGGGCTTTTGTGCGTAGGGGCTTATGTCAAGGAGGACTTTTGTCCGAATCCCCATTATCACGGCAAGACAGTTAGTGTTCAAATAGTCAAGTTTCATTGGCTAGTGATCGATGCATTGGATCCTTCATAATGAAAAATTTGAACTTAAAAAATATCAGATCTGCAGAAATTTTCATGGATACAATATAATTTTACAAAGTTTAATATCTCACTAACAATTATGAAAAAAAAAATGCACGCAACTAATATATATATAAGAATATACATGCTTAATGCAAAATCTGTGAAGCTTACATTATGTTGCTATGCCAATTAACATGCATGCTAAGTAACACTTTTCTAATATTTTTGGCAGTTGCTTTTTTACAATAGGTTATATTACTTGTACACTATCCAGAAACCAAAGTACTTTTAAGAATCCCGGAATAACAAAAATAGTAAGGTTAAAGTATAAGGCAAGGAATTATTTCATTTTTTTCCAATTGTAATTTTATCGTATTAATCTATTTAATTTTAATGTGAAAAAACTCGTAAATCAAAATTAACCTTTAAGAAAACCCCCTATGATAATTTGATACCACTTGTGTTTGTTTTTTTCTTTCAAGAAAAAAAAATTTATATTGTTTATTTTCAGAAAATATTATATCTGTTAATCATAATAAATTTGTCCATTATTATTTTGTATGTGAATTAATTTTCAAAAAAGCAATTAAAGGAGAACTGAAAATTGCCGAAAGTTGTAAAATTACCATAACTGTGTTAATCATAAGTTATATTGCATCCACTTTGATAACAATTTCAAACCTAGCTTTACATTAAAACTGTACGTCAATGTTACCAGGTAGTTAAAACTCAGTTTAAAATTAGTAAAAATATATTTGATATTACTTTTATTTACGATTTCCTTTAATCTGCCATGTACGTACAAAGAGTTTTCAAATTTTTAATCTTTTTTTTCTTAAAAAGATGATTTAAACATTATAATTATATTCATATGTATCAATTAAGTAATCTTTTTTTTTTGTAAACGTCTAGTTTTTCTCAAGGTATATATGCTCCTCAAGCTTTTCTATCAAATACCTGTATCACCCCTTTTAGTGCGTAAGAAATAAATATGAATGAAGATTAAAAGTTAGTGAATCGTAAAATTGTAGTGATTTTTGATTGGTTGAGATAGGTTTCCATTCATACTAACCTATTAGAATATGACTGTATTACAATGGAACAGACTGGTATTTATATAGTGTGTGTTTGTACGGTTTAGTAATATCTGAACTATATATTCACTCGGGGAATATACAAATACAAAATAACGTTTGCATTATATACTCAGAGATGCATGCATTTTAGAGGAACTGAGAGAACAAACAGAAAAATAATCTTCACGTATTTTACGACGACTCTTGTCTTTTTCTGTACAACTTGTTAATTTTGTTTTTTATAAAAGTGTTATCGAAAAAAAAGATTTAAGTTAAATCTGAGTAACTTTGTTTTTTTTTGCAAATAATCTTTTTATCATTAACTCTACTGTAACTGTTGTAGAGAGAAGTTTAATATATTTGTGCATGATCGAAAATGGGATGCAAATTTTGACATAATAAGATTTGAAGTATAAATATGAGTGATTAGATTTAAAGTGTAATTTTAACCTTGAAATAAAGAAATAAATAGAAAAAAAGAAATAAAGGTGTATATAATTATTGCATAAGATATTAAAAAAAAAAGAATAACAACTATATTATATATATCGGAACTGCAGGTGTGAAAGGTTATGTTGGATTATAAGTTGTAATAAATATAAACTTCACGGAACTGGACTATATGCTACAGGATAGCTAATACACTGGTGTCACTAAAGTGAAACGTCTCAAATTTGTAGATCAGATTTAAAAAAAAATAAATAAATGAGAAAATATATATTTAATGACAAAAATTAAACTTTTGGACTTTAGAAACAATTACGGACTTACAGATATGGAGTATGCACTAAATATTAAAAGACACGCACAGAACTGTTAAATTAATAATTTATTTGAATCTTGATACAATTTAAACGTCTGATATACTGATATTTTATCTTGGGGACAGTGATTAAAATTAAAATAACATGACGTGGTTCGCAGTGAAAACACTCGAGAACAGTTTATTAGCCAGGAAGTGGATTTTCATGCTCGTTGTAATTACGGTAAGAAAATTTTGTGTTTAATTATTGCATTTTTAGTATTGCATAAGAGCTGTCATAAAATATTTGAGGAGGAGGGTTCTTGGGATTTTTTTTTTAACAATATATTTATATTTCTGGATCGAACTTTTACGTATACATGTTTTACAGTATATTACGATTTTTCTGTAAGCTAATGTATGTATGTAAGTGGTTAAGGTTGTATCGTTAATTGGCTAAAATTTTTAACAGCCCAGTAGGTTGTTTTGAGTTTGTGGCGTAGTTTTGATATTGGCAGTTTCTGTTGAAACGAGTACGATGAGTTTCTCGATGTGATGCGATGTGAAACAGCTAAGGCAGTAATTAAGCATAGTGTATTGGTCGCTGTGCTTCAATTAAGGTCTAATGTTTGAAACCAATTAGGGTCTAAGGTTTGAAACCAATTAGGGTCTAAGGTTTGAAACCAATTAGGGTTCAAGGTTTGAAATCTTAATTTTAAGGAATGGTGCAGTGTTTTTGAATTGATATGCAAACTTTAAATGCATTGAATGATAAATTAAGGTTTCTTCAAGTTTATAAGAATAATGTTATAGTTGTGTTCAAGTCAGGTATTATCTGAGTTAATAATGTTTTATGTGAGGAATGGGCAAGGGGAATGGATAGGGGTAAGGGGAGGGGTTGAAGGGATTGGTGACCTGATTGATTTTAATTATATACATGCAAATAGGCCAATGCTACGATTCATTCACTATGCCTGTCCCATCATTATAAGTCACAATTTTTTTGGGTGGTTTTGTCAACAATATTTTCTATCTGATCATTGAATATGCAACAAAGTTACAGTGCAGGACCAAAAAAAACCACAACTTTTGTAGGAAGAAGAAATTGTAAAGTCTTGATAAAAAAAAATTAAAATTGAAAATATCAGGTATAAAGTAAAGTCACTGCCTTTCCTTTGTAACAATTTTTTTTAAAGGGATTGACATTACGGGGTAGATTAATGCCTTATAGGTTAATGTCTGAAAGTTGAATAGGTTTTGTTAATTTAATGTATAGTGTGTTTACATTGAGATAATATATTAAGTTCAAAGATAAATTTTCTACGATATTTGTTGTTTGTTCACGCAGTACAAAATGATAGTATACATAAATAAGGTGCATGTTTTTTTATATTTTGTTTTGTAAAGACATATAGTTTATATCTTAACATCAGCTCAGAAAATTATGAAGCGTGAATCATTCTATACTAAAAAAGTGATTTAAACCTGCTAAATTGTATGTCACTCGCTCGTTTTTTATGAAAGAGTCTGCCTTTGAAATATGATGTGTACCGTGATGCAGTGAATTTATTTACTATATATTTATGTATAAATAAGTTCATGTTACCCATTTTCATGTTAAAAAGTAAAAATCGCCTTGATACAAAAAAGTTTGTCCAGGGATGGGGGATCGTTCTTCAGATCCATATTATTTCTTTTGAAAGAGTATAGGGGTCATTGACACTTTGTCAAGTTTGTTTTTTTCCTCTTGAAAAAAATTAAATGATGGAATCTGATATTTAAGTTTGTATAAAAGGTGTGATTATGGTAATGTACATTAAACCGTGGTCTCTGGGAAATTATTCTAAATGCTTGTTTATTTAATAAAAATATATCTTAACGGCAACAAAATGACAACATACATGTATTTAGCTCACGTCATATCACTATTTACAATCTGAAAATCCCATTATTTCAGTTTAGAATTTGAATAATAAATTCTTAAATGTTGTTTACTCTCCAATTTATGACAAAAGGTATGTATAAAATGCCTGTTGTTAACCTGAAATTAAGCACAGAAAATTACATCCTTAGTAAAATCCCTCGTGTCATTCGCTACTGTGTTTTTATGAAAGTTAGATTATCTTTATTGCTAAGAATATGTTGTTAACATTTTCTGTTCGCATTTCATTTCAACTTATTAGACTTTTAAATACATGTATGGCAGTTACGTTGAATACATGATGGATTGAAGAGTAAAATTAAGACTTGTACATGGAAAGATCGACCAAGTTTCATAATAATGTCAGTCTATTAAAATGTAATTAATTTGGGGATATTGTCTTGTATATGAATGTTTGATTGTGTTCTGACATATGATCAAATATGTCACATTCTTTATATGACAGGTTCGTTCACTTTGAAGTTTTTCTTTTCATTTTTATTGTTTTTCAACTTCGATTTTTCGGTTATTATTTTTTTGAACACCCCACTTTTAACACACCCATTGTTTTAAAGACTTATTATCTTCCTCCATATCAGGCAAGAGGACATAACTCTGTTAAGACTTTCAACAAAATATGGCCCCTTTTTTGACATCCATTTTTGGTTTGTCAAAAACTGAAAACAAGCAAATTGACTGTCGGTCATAACTCTGCTAAATCTTTTGACATCCTTCATTTAATTCTGGTGTGATTCAGAAGTTTGACATAAAAGGGAGCAGAAAATTCGACCGTCAACCTTTCAATATGTTTTGAAGTTGTCAAATACAGTACCAAACCATGTGTTCTCCTTTTGAAATCAGTGGTATTGAAAGATTTATTGCCTTTATGTTGTAAAGTTTGTGTAATGGACATTTCATCGTTACAATTTAAAACTCCTGACCATTGTTGGGGTAAATTGAAGTTAAGAGATTGGTCAGACTTCATGGTGTTATGCACACAGGTCTGACTGTAAACTGGTGTGATGGCAATGGTTAATTATTATTCATGCTGGAATTTAGATAATTGATTCCTCAAAGGTGTGACTTTAATGGCAGACAAGAATTTGTACTTTAAAAGCATTCACTAAGAGGGGAGGTGGAGTTGAGGCGGAGATAGATATGTATAGCAAACTGTATGCCAAACACATCAGATTATATAAGCTACCATTTTATTGTAAGCTTTGAAAGATTTAGTTGATAACCTTAATTTATTCCATTAACCTTGCAATTGTTTCATTATCATTTTACAGTTTAAACATTATAACTATCATCTTTCGCAGATTCACATACTTTTCTCTTAATGTTTAAAGTCATAATTGTCCCTGTTTCAGTTTGTTATTGAATAACTAATTTGTTATTTCATATTTGTCTATTTCAAAGAAAAAGTCAAACTTTTATGATCACTGTTGTATCTTTATCTTTGTTGTTGTCATTGTTGCTGTGCAAAAACTTTAATGTGCCCCATTATTCAAACATTTTAAAAGCTATCAACATGAAACTTATCACGAAAAGGTGCAGTTGTTAGACAAGGAGCATAATTCTGAAAGCAATATTTTTGGAGTTATGCCCCTTTTTAAATTAGAAATTTTAACAGACAAGTGTTAACATCACATGTGGTGCGGTGCTCTTGTTTTCATATTCCATTTTAACAGGCCTTTTGCATCCCTACTGAATTGGTACAGTTCATTTAAGAGAACATGTCAATTGAATTGATTATTTTTGCTGATTCAGCAGTTGATGTACTGGTACTGTTTATTCAAGATAATTAATTTTGTTAATATAAAAAAATTGTAAAATTATTGGGGAGGCGGCAAAAGGTGGCAATTAATACAAGATAATTAATTTTGTTTACAGTGTTAGTCAGTGTGTTCTTTAAGTTCACCTCATGATTAAAGTATATGATTTTGTCCCTATTATTCAATTAGCATATAGAACAAAACATTGAAACAATATTTTGTAGGTCTTTATTTAACCATGGTGTACTTATAGTTATGTTTTCCAGTTAAATTTGTATGCCCATAATGTGAAACAGTTTAATTTAAACTGTCCAGAATATGTAAAGTTTAACGTTTACAGCTGAATTACTGAAATCTCACAAAGGGATGTGTTTCATAGAACACTGTATCTTCTATTTCTATCTCCTCTTTATGTGTGACAATTTCTTTTAAATCAGTTGTACAAAATGCAAATGGTAAAGTTTGGAATAGTCAATGAAAGTGCTTCAATAACAGTACTGCTTTAGACAACTGGCCGTTCACTGAACCTCAGACGGTATATAATATAAATTTATATATATTTGATATGTGAAACTCCAGAAATTACAAACAATTTGCAGTCATTTTACGAAATGAACGCTAAAAAAGTGTTAATATTTGCTTAACTGACAGAAATGTGTTTCCCAAATGAAGATATATATATACATATATATCATATTTAATAGTAATTGACTCATTTTACATTTTTCATCATATATAAGTCTTTATGATGCGAGTATTGTCAAACCTGTTGCTCAATGTAGCCTCTGATGAAAGGACAATCTATAAAGAAAAAAACACCATATATATTATTTCTGACACATTATTCTGACTTATCTTTGTGAAAACTCAAAAGACCACTTGTTTTCAATGATTTTTATTGATTATTTGCATTTTTCATTGACCTTGACCTATTTTTGTTGACCTTGACATTCAACAGCTTTGATTTGATTCAGCCCACATGTTGGTCGACATTTTGACAAAACAAAATTTAAATCTGGCAGATGAAATATTTTTGATGTATTTATAATGTCAAAATTGGAATAAAAGGTAACAAAATGGCAGGAGGCTGTGACCTTGACCTCTAAGAGCAATCACACTTTAAAAAAAATCATGTGGTCAGGAAAATTTTTGATAATTCATAATCATAAGCAATGTTTAGAGTAATAACAATTTGTCTTCTAAATGGAAATCCACTTCAAAACAACAGTATATCTCTTTTACAAGTGTGTATATTAATAATAATGTTTGAAATAATGAAAAAAGTGTTAGTTCAAATTGAGGCAAAATGGTCTTATTTCTAGAAAATGATAATTTGTTGAATTATAGTTAAATACATATATACAAAAATGTGAATAGTCAACTCACATTTCATTCTTTTTCTGATATTTCATAAAATAAAAATCCCAAAACAAAACCAAAGGAACAACAAAATTAGGGGTTGGACACCTCTGAGGTTTTTTTGTACAATGCTTTTCACTCAAATTAGGCTAAGAATTGCACCAAAAAAATATATATTTAATTTAATTC